TCTAAATAGTGGTTAATAATAACAAATGGGAATTGTTTTATTGAATATGTTAATAATATTCACAAAAAACCAGCTACATTAAATCACAAAGCAGAAACTCAAAAATGACTTAAAAATATTTCTCATGCTGAACATTTGTGTAACCTTGCTGTCATACCCCAAGTGGAATTTTAAATGAATTCACTGAAAAAAAATATGAATGACAAAACAAAGCCAGACTAAAATATTCCCAGAGATAAGAAATGTATGCCCAGTGTTAAAGATTAAAGTTCCTTAGTTACATACAGATATAATATTACTGTTTTGAAACTCTTAACGATATATAATTACATTTCCTAAAACTGTTGGAAGCGCACGTACAATCACCACAACAAGCACGCAGGATCTTCAGAAATACACACAGTAGCACCCAAGAAAGCCGTTATGTCAACAAACGCACGTTCGTGTATTGGATCTCGCACCGTAAATCGCTTGATTCTTATCAAAAACTTCACATGAGACAGCACAATTCTGTTAGCTTCGTTCCTGGTACTTTCAATATAAACATAATGCCATAAACAATTTTAGTAGTCGGGATTATTTTTGTCAAAGGACCGCAACCATTACACGCGTTCTGATTGGTTTGTCGTATTTTCGCACATAACAAGCATCGAGACGGGGACGAGTCTTCATGGAGGTTACGGAAAGGGGCGAGTGGTGACGACTGGAGTCTTCATGGAGGTTACGGAAAGGGGCGAGTGGTGACGACTGGAGTCTTCATGGAGGTTACGGAAAGGGGCGAGTGGTGACGACTGGAGTCTTCATGGAGGTTACGGAAAGGGGCGAGTGGTGACGAAAGAATTTCAAGCGTACCTCATAGAGTTACCTCCATTGGAGCGGTCCTTACGAATATCCTATAGCTCCTTTGGCCACAGAAACCAGTATTCTCCGACAACACCGCGTGCGACAGTTTTCGATGTACGGAGAAATCGTTTTCATTCCATAAATGGCAAGTGTTGTCTCTTTGGAAGCTATTCGCCCCGGGGTTTCAATTATCGATTTCAGGGATAATAGGGCTTTTATTGCATCAATAGGCAAGTAAAGTTAGTGCATATGCCCCCCATATGTATAATATAGGCCAGAATATTGTCGAAAATGTGACATAGTGACTTTAAATTCTTTTCTCTGTGTATATATTACGTTTCTTGGGTTTTGAGAAACTAAGTCAGGAATATACCTTGCCTTTTAGAAAGTAGTTACTTGTAATATCTTATATTTTGTATTGCATTTTTTCAGAAAATCCCCCAAAGTGGAGAAAGTGTAATCCACATTAGACTGAGTGAGTGAGTGAGTGAGTTGGGTTGTACGCTGCATTTTGCAATCCCTATGTCATATATTACAAAGATTGGTCACTTTGTTTCTTGTGTGACGGTTTTCACATAGCTATCCCTCAATATCTCCTGCAACCAGTTTAACGTTTCCGGTTCAATGTAAGACATATATTCCTTTCGACCATTTAGAACAATAAACCTTGTTTTAAATTAGTTAAAGACTAATTATATATCGTTAATAAAATAAATGTCCTGTAGACGTCCAAAATCTTGGACTTTATAAGGGAATACATTTCACGTTGACCCGAATGCTATGTTCTTTTAGTAGCGAATGTAGTTACATTTTCTGAAAACCCTTGATAATCATGTAAAGTAATAAATTGCCAAGATTTTCATACATTTTTCATAATGAACTGATATATTTTAAAACATATTTAAATAAATAATTGTATCATAAAACGTCGGCATTCTGACTGGGTTTCCCGATACAAAGAAGAATGTGCTGTTTTATCAGCCAAAAGCAGACACATATCTAAAACACTGAAATGGCCTACTGGGACAGAAAATTTGTGATCATGAAATTGATATTACAGAAACTTCATCCATGGCCACAGATAATTCACAATAAAAAAAATGGTATTGATGGGACATAATTTGTAAAATCTTGTTCATTAATCGGAATTGGACCTTTCAATTAATGTACCTGTGGCGTCTATAGATCATCTAAATGTTTCAAGTTATAATGCGAGGTGATATAAACTCAGTACGACATTTTCAGTTTTCATCTCTCAACTGTTCCATGTCAGGACAATGTTGACTAGAACATCATAGGTGGTCAAGTATAAAGTGTTGATATTTGTCCCATGCTTTTAATTACATCATGAAGCGTATAGAATTGTACAGAATCGGCTCGCTTTGGCTGAAAGTCTCCTGGCATATATACTGCTGTAAGGCAGACCTGTCATACCTTCCATTTTTGCATAGTTTTCTCTATCCTTACAGGGGCGGTGGGGTAGCCTAGTGGTTAAAGCGTTGGCTCGTCACGCTAAAGACCCGGGTTCGATTGCCCACATGGGTACAATATGTGAAACCCATTTCTGGTGTCCCCCGCCGTGATATTGCTGGAATATTGCTAAAAGCGGCGTAAAACCATACTCACTCACTCACTCACTCTATCCTTAGATTTACTTCAATACTCCGGAAACATGTAGTTCAGTAAAAACAAATCTAATAAATCCACTTATGGGATTGAAATGGCCAAATGATCTATTCCTCAAGCCTGTAGTGTTTATTCAGATATTGTGTTACATGAGACAACACTTTACATTTTGAAGTCTATTTATGATTGACAGATAGTCACCACTATCTACAACAATGTGTAGATCAAACTCATCATGAACATTGACTAAATTGTCTTGTGAAAACAATTGTTTTTGTACAGACCATGTGAGTTAAGCATTGTGAATGCTGCCTTGTACTATCTAGCTGTATGTGTTCCATTTCGAGAGGTACTGATATTGTGACTTGCAATCACTTGCAGCTACTCGTTAAAAATGTTACACAGACATGCTTTAAGAATGTAAAAACTGGAGAACTGTACATGATGCGCACCAAATATCCCTTAGGATAAAACTGAAATCATCTTATCTCATGACTTGTTCATCTGGGCAACATGCAATTACATGATGCACACCATTTCTTGGCCAAGGAAGTGTTTATATAACAGAACAACTGAATTGCCTTATCCTGAATGCGCACAAAATGATAGGAAGTTTCCGCTAACATTATCTTTCCATTACATTACCAGCGTTAAAGACTCTGTGACATTGCTAAAATATCATTTTTGTGAAATTGATGTTGAAATATTGATATATATGACACAATTTTATGTGGAAAACTTGACATAATTCGCTGTGAATATTTTGTTCTTCGTTTATCATCGAAATGACTTTCATTGCAAATTTTATTGTGATAAAAATGCTATCTATGCTAGATTTATTAAATTAAATTACAAAAAGTTGCAAGATGCTATTTTGGGTTGATAGGGAAATTTATCGTCTTTAATACCACAAACTATAGCTATAATTACCATTTTTTATAAGCACATGTCATTGCAAAGACTGAGACAAGTCACAAAGACTCCACTCTCACTGTAACCAAGTTCCCATCCAGTGGTTGTGGACAGGTATGTGAAATAAGGACAGCTACTGTCAGCATAGGTAACTGACGCGAAGGACACGTTTTTCCTAAATATAGATACAGTTATCTGATATCGTGATATGTGATATTCCCATATTTCTCATGTTGTCACGGAGGTCATGTTGCGGTTAGTCACCTTTGACCTATGACGTCACTGCATCCATCACGTGCTCCCTCGCCCCATCAGTCTTTCCACGTAAATAGCGTTTTGATACACAGAGAATAGTTAACTGACGAGGCCGGTGTATTGAAAGGGGAGGGAGAGTGATTTAGTTTCCTTAGGAGTTGAAAATGATAACATATGCATGTATGTAGGTAAAACAAAATACCCGAAAAGAATACTACTGGAGTCCAAATATACCTCGTGACCTTGATTGGCTAGAAGTATGACGAGACGTGAAGGCGCACGTGAAGGCGCTACTGAAGGTGCACGTGAAGGCGCTACTGAAGGCGCTAGTGATGGCGCTAGTGAAGGCGCTAGTGATGGCGCTAGTGAAGGCGCTAGTGATGGCGCTAGTGATGGCGCTAGTGAAGGCGCTAGTGATGGCGCTAGCGAAGGCGCTAGGGAAGGCGCTAGCGAAGGCGCTAGTGAAGATGCTAGTGATGGCGCCAGTGAAGGCGCTAGTGATGACGCTAGTGAAGGCGCTAGTGATGGCGCTAGTGATGGCGCTAGTGATGGCGCTTGTGAAGTTACCCTGCGAATGGGGTCGACATACCCGTGACATGTCTGCAGTAAGCAACATCAGCAACCTACACAGAGTCTGGACCATATAATCCAGTGAATCCAGTAACAACGGTCCACGCCGTGTACGATGGCGAGGTCACATGGTCTGTCTATCAGATCTTAGGACACACAGAAGTTCCCAGTCAGTGTCTGATAGGGGTTTAGGGCCCTGTTTCACCAAGCGATCTTAGCGCTACGACGGTCATAACTTTATGTTAAAATATAGGAGATACGAAAGTCGCAGCGTTATAATTGCATTAGCGGATCCAAGGGGGTGTTCAGGGGGTTCGCCGCCCCCTCCTCTTCAAACATACGGCATAACGTACCGCAATTCTGTTTGGAGAATTATATCCCTTTGGTCTTGGTTTCCGACCCAGGAGACCCGTGAAGATCCGGGGTAGAATAGGTCTTCAGCAACCCATGTGCTTGCCATAAAAGGCGACTATGCTTGTCGTAAGAGGCGACTTACGGGATCGGGTGGTCAGTTTCGCTGACTTGGTTGACACATGTCATCGGTTCCCAATTGCGCAGATCGATGCTCATGCTGTTGATCACTGGATTGTCTGGTCCAGACTCGATTATTTACAGACCGCCGCCATATAGCTGGAATATTGCTGAGTGCGGCGTAAAACTAAACACACTCACTCACTCACTCCGACCCAGGATCACTCCTGTTACATTTCTAGATTTGTCAGCACCAACGAGGTGACCTAATAAGACCCGCATCACTTCGGGTGTTCCTCCCTCATTAGGCAGACCTGTCAAACGCGGCGTTAACCACAACTCACATATTGTACATGTGTGAAGATTTATTTTGGATCTGTTTCTTTGTTGCAGGTGGCGACATATTCGAGAAGGAATTACTGGTAGATGGCCGACGAATTCAACTCAACTTTGTGTAAGTTTCACACATGCGGATGGCGTTGCTGAGCAACACTTTTAATTGTCATTTCCCCCTAGCCCCGATATTGGCATGGCATTAAGTATGCATTCATGGTACCGTTTTGCTTATGTGATTTACTTCTATTTTCAAAATCTTGAGATATTGAAAGCTAAACAGACAAGAAAACGGTCACTTTGAACGGACTTTCATGTCTATATTTTACGACATCAGCGGCATATCCTTGATATATGGGCAGACACTTGGGATATGAGCAGACACTTGGGGATATATGAGCAGACACTTGGGGATATATGAGCAGACACTTGAGAATATATGAACAGACACTTGGGTTATTGAGAAACACATAAATTTGAATTCAACTTATATGGAACTCATTGCAAAAAACAAGCTGACTATCAATAGAAGTTGGTTTTCCTTTATATATAAACTGGGTGTTACAACCCATATCCCACCACAATGCTTACTCAACACATATAAACTGGGAGTTACAATCCATATCCCACTACAGTGCTAACTCAACAGATATAAACTGGGTGTTACAACCCATATCCCACCACAGTGCTAACTCAACACATATAAACTGGGTGTTACAACCCATATCCCACTACAGTGCTAACTCAACACATATAAACTGGGTGTTACAACCCATATCTCACTACAGTGCTAATTCAACACATATAAACTGGGAGTTACAATCCATATCTCACCACAGAGCTAACTCAACACATATAAACTGGGAGTTACAACCCATATCCCACTACAGTGCTAACTCAACACATATAAACTGGGAGTTACAACCCATATCCCACTACAGTGCTAACTCAACACATATAAACTGGGAGTTACAACCCATATCCCACTACAGTGCTAACTCAACAGATATAAACTGGGAGTTACAACCCATATCCCACTACAGTGCTAACTCAACACATATAAACTGGGAGTTACAACCCATATCCCACTACAGTGCTAATTCAACACATATAAACTGGAAGTTACAACCCATATCTCACCACAGAGCTAACTCAACACACATAAACTGGTTGTTACAACCCACATCCCACCACAGTGCTAACTCAACACATATAAACTGGGAGTTACAATCCATATCCCACTACAGTGCTAACTCAACACATATAAACTGGGTGTTACAACCCATATCCCACTACAGTGCTAATTCAACACATATAAACTGGGAGTTACAATCCATATCTCACCACAGAGCTAACTCAACACACATAAACTGGTTGTTACAACCCACATCCCACCACAGTGCTAACTCAACACATATAAACTGGGAGTTACAATCCATATCCCACTACAGTGCTAACTCAACACATATAAACTGGGTGTTACAACCCATATCTCACCACAGTGCTAACTCAACACATATAAACTGGGTGTTACAACCCATATCTCACCACAGTGCTAACTCAACACATATAAACTAGGTGTTACAACCCATATCTCACCACAGTGCTAACTCAACACATATAAACTAGGTGTTACAACCCATATCCCACTACAGTGCTAACTCAACACATATAAACTGGGTGTTACAACCCATATCCCACTACAGTGCTAATTCAACACATATAAACTGGGTGTTACAACCTATATCCCACTACAGTGCTAACTCAACACATATAAACTGGGTTTTACAACCCATATCTCACCACAGTGCTACCTCAACACATATAAACTGGGTGTTTCAACCCATATCCCACCACAGTGCTAACTCAACAATGTGTCTGTTGTTTACAGGGACACCGCCGGGCAGGCTGACGTCAAGTCTCTCATTCGGAGTATATACAGAAACGCAAACGTAAGTCCAGTTACATCTCACACCACAGTGACACCTCCTTAATCCGAACGGTTGGATTTTCCATGCAAGAGGCGACGGTCAGGCTCGCTGATTTTGGTTGACATATGTCAGAGAATAACACTTGCGTAGATCGCTTCTCAAGCTGTTGATCACTGGATTTTCTGGCCCAGACTCGATTTTTTACAGACCTCTGTGATATAGCTTGAAAACTGCTGAGTGTGGTGTTAAACAACAAACAAACAAAAGAGTTTAACACTCTAAGTTAGATGCGGTATTAAACAACAAAGAGTGAGTGAGTGAGTTTAGTTTTATGCCGCACTCAGCAATATTCCAGCTTTATGGCGGCGACAAAGAGTGTGATTCAGTAGATACGGATGCCCTGTTTGGGATTCGACACAGTATAAGTACCTGGCGTCTTGGAGGGACATAAGTCTGTCCGATCAAGTCTGATATGTTGAATGTTGTTTTGTTACGCAGGGCATTATGGTTGTGTTCGACATTACGAACCAGAAGAGCTTCGACACGGTTGGTGAATGGATGGAAAGGGTGACACAGGTGGGTGTTTAAACAGGACAGGATATTAAAAGGCGACTGTGGACAGGCGGTATAGGGCTGGGGTCTGAGAGGACTAATTGAGCTAATTCGGGATATAGTTAGCGTTAGTTGGTCAATAACATTTATCTTGTTGAGAGAAAATGCTTTACGACTCCCACTTTTAAATAAGTATGTGTTTATTGATGGTAAATACTAACTACAGTGTCATCTAGAATAAGTATGTGTTTATTGATGGTAAATACTAACTACAGTGTCATCTAGAATAAGTATGTGTTTATTGATGGTAAATACTAACTACAGTGTCATCTAGAATAAGTATGTGTTTATTGATGGTAAATACTAACTACAGTGTCGTCTAGAATAAGTATGTGTTTATTGATGGTAAATACTAACTACAGTGTCATCTAGAATAAGTATGTGTTTATTGATGGTAAATACTAACTACAGTGTCATCTAGAATAAGTATGTGTTTATTGATGGTAAATACTAACTACAGTGTCGTCTAGAATAAGTATGTGTTTATTGATGGTAAATACTAACTACAGTGTCGTCTAGAATAAGTATGTGTTTATTGATGGTAAATACTAACTACAGTGTCATCTAGAATAAGTATGTGTTTATTGATGGTAAATACTAACTACAGTGTCATCTAGAATAAGTATGTGTTTATTGATGGTAAATACTAACTACAGTGTCGTCTAGAATAAGTATGTGTTTATTGATGGTAAATACTAACTACAGTGTCAGTCTAGAATAAGTATGTGTTTATTGATGGTAAATACTAACTACAGTGTCGTCTAGAATAAGTATGTGTTTATTGATGGTAAATACTAACTACAGTGTCGTCTAGAATAAGTATGTGTTTATTGATGGTAAATACTAACTACAGTGTCGTCTAGAATAAGTATGTGTTTATTGATGGTAAATACTAACTACAGTGTCATCTAGAATAAGTATGTGTTTATTGATGGTAAATACTAACTACAGTGTCATCTAGAATAAGTATGTGTTTATTGATGGTAAATACTAACTACAGTGTCATCTAGAATAAGTATGTGTTTATTGATGGTAAATACTAACTACAGTGTCATCTAGAATAAGTATGTGTTTATTGATGGTAAATACTAACTACAGTGTCATCTAGAATAAGTATGTGTTTATTGATGGTAAATACTAACTACAGTGTCATCTAGAATAAGTATGTGTTTATTGATGGTAAATACTAACTACAGTGTCATCTAGAATAAGTATGTGTTTATTGATGGTAAATACTAACTACAGTGTCATCTAGAATAAGTATGTGTTTATTGATGGTAAATACTAACTACAGTGTCATCTAGAATAAGTATGTGTTTATTGATGGTAAATACTAACTACAGTGTCATCTAGAATAAGTATGTGTTTATTGATGGTAAATACTAACTACAGTGTCGTCTAGAATAAGTATGTGTTTATTGATGGTAAATACTAACTACAGTGTCGTCTAGAATAAGTATGTGTTTATTGATGGTAAATACTAACTACAGTGTCAGTCTAGAATAAGTATGTGTTTATTGATGGTAAATACTAACTACAGTGTCATCTAGAATAAGTATGTGTTTATTGATGGTAAATACTAACTACAGTGTCGTCTAGAATAAGTATGTGTTTATTGATGGTAAATACTAACTACAGTGTCATCTAGAATAAGTATGTGTTTATTGATGGTAAATACTAACTACAGTGTCATCTAGAATAAGTATGTGTTTATTGATGGTAAATACTAACTACAGTGTCATCTAGAATAAGTATGTGTTTATTGATGGTAAATACTAACTACAGTGTCATCTAGAATAAGTATGTGTTTATTGATGGTAAATACTAACTACAGTGTCATCTAGAATAAGTATGTGTTTATTGATGGTAAATACTAACTACAGTGTCATCTAGAATAAGTATGTGTTTATTGATGGTAAATACTAACTACAGTGTCATCTAGAATAAGTATGTGTTTATTGATGGTAAATACTAACTACAGTGTCATCTAGAATAAGTATGTGTTTATTGATGGTAAATACTAACTACAGTGTCATCTAGAATAAGTATGTGTTTATTGATGGTAAATACTAACTACAGTGTCATCTAGAATAAGTATGTGTTTATTGATGGTAAATACTAACTACAGTGTCATCTAGAATAAGTATGTGTTTATTGATGGTAAATACTAACTACAGTGTCATCTAGAATAAGTATGTGTTTATTGATGGTAAATACTAACTACAGTGTCATCTAGAATAAGTATGTGTTTATTGATGGTAAATACTAACTACAGTGTCATCTAGAATAAGTATGTGTTTATTGATGGTAAATACTAACTACAGTGTCATCTAGAATAAGTATGTGTTTATTGATGGTAAATACTATACTAACTACAGTGTCATCTAGAATAAGTATGTGTTTATTGATGGTAAATACTAACTACAGTGTCATCTAGAATAAGTATGTGTTTATTGATGGTAAATACTAACTACAGTGTCATCTAGAATAAGTATGTGTTTATTGATGGTAAATACTAACTACAGTGTCATCTAGAATAAGTATGTGTTTATTGATGGTAAATACTAACTACAGTGTCATCTAGAATAAGTATGTGTTTATTGATGGTAAATACTAACTACAGTGTCATCTAGAATAAGTATGTGTTTATTGATGGTAAATACTAACTACAGTGTCATCTAGAATAAGTATGTGTTTATTGATGGTAAATACTAACTACAGTGTCATCTAGAATAAGTATGTGTTTATTGATGGTAAATACTAACTACAGTGTCATCTAGAATAAGTATGTGTTTATTGATGGTAAATACTAACTACAGTGTCATCTAGAATAAGTATGTGTTTATTGATGGTAAATACTAACTACAGTGTCATCTAGAATAAGTATGTGTTTATTGATGGTAAATACTAACTACAGTGTCGTCTAGAATAAGTATGTGTTTATTGATGGTAAATACTAACTACAGTGTCATCTAGAATAAGTATGTGTTTATTGATGGTAAATACTAACTACAGTGTCATCTAGAATAAGTATGTGTTTATTGATGGTAAATACTAACTACAGTGTCATCTAGAATAAGTATGTGTTTATTGATGGTAAATACTAACTACAGTGTCGTCTAGAATAAGTATGTGTTTATTGATGGTAAATACTAACTACAGTGTCGTCTAGAATAAGTATGTGTTTATTGATGGTAAATACTAACTACAGTGTCATCTAGAATAAGTATGTGTTTATTGATGGTAAATACTAACTACAGTGTCATCTAGAATAAGTATGTGTTTATTGATGGTAAATACTAACTACAGTGTCATCTAGAATAAGTATGTGTTTATTGATGGTAAATACTAACTACAGTGTCGTCTAGAATAAGTATGTGTTTATTGATGGTAAATACTAACTACAGTGTCATCTAGAATAAGTATGTGTTTATTGATGGTAAATACTAACTACAGTGTCGTCTAGAATAAGTATGTGTTTATTGATGGTAAATACTAACTACAGTGTCGTCTAGAATAAGTATGTGTTTATTGATGGTAAATACTAACTACAGTGTCGTCTAGAATAAGTATGTGTTTATTGATGGTAAATACTAACTACAGTGTCATCTAGAATAAGTATGTGTTTATTGATGGTAAATACTAACTACAGTGTCATCTAGAATAAGTATGTGTTTATTGATGGTAAATACTAACTACAGTGTCATCTAGAATAAGTATGTGTTTATTGATGGTAAATACTAACTACAGTGTCATCTAGAATAAGTATGTGTTTATTGATGGTAAATACTAACTACAGTGTCGTCTAGAATAAGTATGTGTTTATTGATGGTAAATACTAACTACAGTGTCATCTAGAATAAGTATGTGTTTATTGATGGTAAATACTAACTACAGTGTCGTCTAGAATAAGTATGTGTTTATTGATGGTAAATACTAACTACAGTGTCGTCTAGAATAAGTATGTGTTTATTGATGGTAAATACTAACTACAGTGTCATCTAGAATAAGCGTAACGTTTTGTCTGCATGATGGTTCCTGTATGTTGGCGATGGATATTGGCACCTGTTTTCGTTACTTTCAGGAAATTGAACCCCAGCCACATGTGATACTGGTCGGAAACAAACAAGACCTCACAGCCCACAGGGAAATACCCATAGGCCAAGCCCGTGCGGTAACTATACACGTGGGGGTCAGGAAGAGGGTGGGTCAGTGAGAGGGAGGGGACAGAAGGAACAGGGTGGAGTCAGTGAGAGGGCGGGCAACAAAACTTCAGAGGGAGGGGTCAGGAGAAGGGCGGGGACAGAACGAACAGGGTGGGGTCAGTGGAAGGGCTGGGACAGAAAAGAAACGACGAGGTCAGTGTGAGGATAGGCACTGAAGGAAGCGGTTAGGGTCAGGGGAAGAGAGGGGACAGGAGGAAGAGGTAAGGGCCAGGGGAAGAGAGGGGACAGGAGGAAAAGGGAGGGGCCAGGGGAAGAGAAGGGACAGGGGAAAGAGGGAGGGGCCAGGGGAGGAGGGGACAGGAGGAGGAGGAGGGAGGGTCAGGGGGGAGAGAGGGACAGGAGGAAGAGGGAGGGGCCAGGGGAAGAGAGGGACAGGAGGAAAGAGGAGGGGACCAGGGGAAGAGAGGGACAGGAGGAAGAGGGAGGGGCCAGGGGAAGAGAAGGGACAGGAGGAAGAGGGAGGGGCCAGGGGAAGGGAGGGGTCAGGAGGAAGAGGGAGGGGTCAGGGGAAGAGGGACAGGAGGAAGAGGGAGGGGTCAGGGGAAGGGAGAGGACAGGAGGAAGAGGAGGGACCAGGGGAAGGGATGGGACAGGAGGAAGAGGGGAGGGTCAGGGGAAGAGAGGGACAGGAGGAAGAGGGAGGGTCAGGGGAAGGGAGAGACAGGAGGAAGAGGGAGGGACCAGGGAAGGGGATGTGACAGGAGGAAGAGGGAGGGGGTCAGGGGAAGGAAGGGGGCAGGAGGAAGAGGGAGGGGTCAGGGGAAGAAATGGGACAGTAGGAAGAGGGAAGAGTCAGTGTGAGGGGGGGGTGTATCAAGAAGGAAGACAGTGTTCCCACAGGCTTGACAGACCAAACTTACCCGACTTTTCCCTGATAAGTATATATATGTTTCCCTGACCATTTAGTGTAAAAACAGGCTTCCTTCCTTCCATTCAGCCAGTCCTAACCACCCTTTTAACATATTTCCTCCACATCATATGTATCATAAATACATACACCTTTTGTTAATTTATTACATTAACAAATGTTAATTTATTACATTAACAAAACATTGCTATTTGTAACGGAAAGTGTTTTCCTTGTTTCTCCTGCCACAATGTCACATAACACAGCAGATACATCTGATAGAGTGTAACCATCAAATATATACTCTAAGGCAGAGATGCTAATCGTGAAGCTAATGAGTGGAGCTATACTGCCTAGCACCGACTGACCGAGTTGGGGGTGATCAGGAGCTCGACTGTGGGGTTCAGGAAAATTTATAGATTTAGCATGATACAAAAGGAAGAGGGTAGGGCGGAGGGGAAGAACGATTTGATATGCCACGAGTGGCGCTTAAAATGTTGAATTAAATATATTTTACGTGAGTAATAATTCAATATGAGGTTGGAAATCTGAGAGCACAACGCTGTGAGGATGGTGGCGATATTCTATTTTGACATAAAAATATTTTTCGAACCGAAGCGAGGGAAGAACGTTGTCAACCTTTGCTCATTTCGCTCGCAAACAGGAAGACTGGTAATTTTTCTCTCTGTTGCACAATCTTATTTGCGCTACAGTTTGCCTGCGGTTGAGGTGTCAGCAATTAGGGTGGTACACTGCCTAAGATTAGATGCCTTTGTAGACATTATTACCTGCATCACAACAGACATGATCCGTGTTACGTCATTTCTTACAGTGGCAATATGTGGTGGGACATTTCGCACTGGGGAGCAGCGGACTTGTCTGACATTTAAGTCAAGGTAGGAATTGTGACTGTGTACATATTTCAGTACGTATCTTCGTCTTGTGTTTCCAGAAAGCGGATTTTTACAGTACTCCATATTATGACGTCAGCGCAAAGACAGGTGACAATGTCAAGGAGGCATTTGAGACCTTCATCCGTGAGACCTGGCGGAATATACAACCGGTAAGTGAGTGGTGAAGTGAATGAGTTCTGAGTGAGTTCCACCGGTAAAGTCTGTCGTGGGACAAGTGAGTTAGTAGTAAGCCAATATATACCATCGGTAAATCGTCTGACGTAAGGACAAGTGAATCGTTCTGTAGTGGTTAGCCAATATACCACCGGTAAGTCTGACGTGGGACAAGTGAATCGTTCTGTACTGGTTAGCCAATATACCACCGGTAAGTCTGACGTGGGACAAGTGAATCGTTCTTGTAGTAGTTAGTCAATATACCACTGGTAGCCAATATACTGGTAAGTCTGACGTGGGACAAGTGAATCGTTCTGTAGTAGTTAGTCAACCATACCACCGGTATGTCTGACGTGGGACAAGTGAATCGTTCTGTAGTAGTTAGTCAATATACCACCGGTATGTCTGTCGTGGGACAAGTGAATCGTTCTGTAGTAGTTAGTCAATATACCACCGGTAAGTCTGACGTGGGACAAGTGAATCGTTCTGTAGTAGTTAGTCAATATACCACCGATAAGTCGGTAAGTCTGACGTGGGACAAGTGAATCGTTCTGTAGTAGTTAGTCAATATACCATCGGTAAGTCTGTCGTCGGACAAGTGAATCGTTCTGTAGTGGTTAGCCAATATACCACCGGTAAGTCTGACGTGGGACAAGTGAATCGTTCTGTACTGGTTAGTAGTTAGCCAATATACCACCGGTATGTCTGACGGGACAAGTGAATCGTTCCGTGGGAGTAGTTAGATCAATATACCACTGGTAAGTCTGACGTGGGACACGCGAATCGCTTCTGTAGTAGTTAGTCAATATACCACCGGTGGGATGTCTGTCGTGGGACAAGTGACGTGAGTGAGTAGTAGTTAGTCAATATACCACTGGTAAGTCTGACGTGGGACAGGTGAATCGTTCTGTAGTAGTTAGCCCAATATACCATCGGTAGAAGTCTGACGTGGGACAAGTGAATCGTTCTGTAGTAGTTAGTCAATATACCACGGTAAAGTCTGACGGTAATCAGTTAGTCAATATACCACCAGTAAGTCTGACGTGGGAGTCTGACGTAAGGACGTGGGACAAGTGAATCGTTCTGTAGTAGTTAGTCAATATACCACCGACGTGGGACAAAGTCTGACGTGGGACAAGTGAATCGTTCTGTAGTAGTTAGTCAATATACCATCGGTAAGTCTGACGTGGGACAAGTGAATCGTTCTGACTGTAGTAGTTAGTCAATATACCACCGGTAAGTCTGACGTGGGACTTCTGTAGTGAATCGTTCTGTAGTGAATCGTTAGTCAATATACCACCGGTAAGTCTGTCGTGGGACAAGTGAATCGTTCTGTAGTAGTTAGTCAATATACCACCGGTAAGTAGTTAGTCTGACGTGGGACAAGTGAATCGTTCTGTAGTAGTTAGTCAATATACCACCGGTAAGTCTGACGTGGGACAAGTGAATCGTTCTATGCTGGTTAGCCAGAATTCGGGGCGTTTGGGTAGCCTAGTGGTTAAAGCGTTCACTCGTCACGCTGAAGACCCGGGATCGATTCCCCACATAGGTGCAATGTGTGTAGCCCATTTCTGGTGTCCCCCCGCCGTGATATAGCAGTAATAATGCTGTGGGCGGCGTAAAACTAAGCTGACTCACTTTAAATCTTCCCATCTATCGTTACACAGTCAGTTACAGAGTAACCACTGGCTGATCAAGCATAATATTTAAAAACTACCAAGGTGAATGTTTACGTCAGAATTTCGTTACTCCTGTTTATTTAAAAATACTTTGATAGTCTCCCTCACTCACTGTTTCAGAATTCGGACGCGGGATTTGAGAGATCTATCCACATTGAAGAAACCGATGGAGAGAACAAAGAAAGGTGTTGTACCAGCTGACGGCGCCGGGGTCACCGTGACCTTCACCTTCATTCCACACACAACATCTCACTGGGAACCGTCATCTGTTGGTGCAGTGGCTTAAATCAGAGACGCGATCAGAGACATTGCACACCTTCGAGCAGGCTCGTCGTGAAACAAACAATTTTAGAGCAAGTGGACATCATGGTGGCAAATCCACACTGTCTGCACGTGCAGACCCAGTCAAATTAGCTAGTCTGTTGCGGATGGTTTACAGTCACAGAACACCAACAGTTGGAACACTAAACTGTCAAATATGCAACACCCATGTGAAGTTAAAAATACCGGATCCTGGCTTTACGGATCTGCTGCAGTGATGAATGAGTGAGTTTAGTTTTACGCCGCTTTTAGCAATTATCTAGCAATATCACGGCGGGAACACCAGAAAAAGGGCTTCACACATTGTACCCATATAGAGAATCGAACCCAGGTCTTCTGCGTGACGAGCAAACACTTGAACCGCTGCCCCCGCAGCAATGAATTTAAATTAAGAATCACGTGATCAGTAACACCTTTGGGAAATCGATGTTGCCCTCCATTGCAAACTGACCTATTAACTGTGTTTGTTTCTTATTGCTGTTCTTCCTTGGTAATTTCTCCACCCGATGTTGGCAAAGTATCCGCAGTAATCTTATACCAGTGAGTCTTAGCTGACAGTCGTCTTATCATGTGATAACGTTTTTGTATGTATAGGTTAAGCCCCTAAATGCCTTTCATTTGATAATATGTTGCACGAATGACATCGTCACGTTTTGCTATGTCAATTCGTTATTACTACAGCACAATAAAGTATATACCTTGTCAAACCTCTTCGATGTACAGTGACTTCTTTATTAATGCGAGTCGGTAACAGTTTCACTCTCCGAGGCGTGATGTATTGGTTATCAGGGCGAAATTATATTTATCATCAGCCATATAGAGCCGTTTTAGTGTTTATTACCCACGAGGGCGAAAATATCGGTGTTCATATTTTTTCATACAATGCCCTAGGGAAAAATATCACTTTGTCATGGTGACGTGAGGTCATGAACAATGGTATGACGTCACGTTTCTTCTATGACGTTGCGTGCTTCATGATGCGACGGCGGATAGCCAGCCTATGTTTGAAAGTAGATTTGGGTTTATTTTTAAGCACTCGTGTCGTAAAGATAGTATGACATGGACACTCATATGATATCCTCTATATTTAGGCCGATGTGACGATAAATTTGAACTCACTCACTCACTCTGTATATAGGGAAGGTCTTTTAGCATGTCAGACCAGACAAACCAGTGATCAACATCATGAGCATTCATTACTATACATGTATATGCACAACAGGGTTGCTCAGTCAGCCATTCTAACGCTACAGTTTTGTTTGTTGTCTAACGCCGCACTCAGCAATATTCCAGCTATATGGCAGCGGTTTGTAAATGATCGAGTCTGGACCAGACAATCCAATGATCAACAACAAGAGCATCGATCTACACAAATGGGGTACAATGACATGGATCAATCCATGACATGGATCAATAAGTGAGCCTCACCACCCGATCCCGTGACTCGCTTCTAACAACCGATCAATTCTAACCAGGATCTTCACTTGATCGTAGTGTCATGGTAGCCCGTGACGTCATAGTGGTCTGCAAAATGGTTCCTAACTACTTACATGGACATTCATATACTATTGCACCCCCTCGCAGGAAATAAGGCAACACAAGGTTTGATACTCACACAATCTCATAATACTTTGGGGCACCCAGAGCACTGACTGTACTCTACTCAATATCAAGAACGCATTTTATAGAGTGCGTACCTTCTAGAAATAAATAATTTGATTGTGTTGCGTATTTGTGACATTATGGGATCCGGTGCTGTGTGGTCCTGTGCACAGAGCGCTGGTCACAAATGAAGTTAAGCAACGTTGAGCGTGGAGAGTCCTTGGATGGGTAACTCGTGAGACTTTCAAGGACTTCAACCCTCCCCCACAACGAAGCACCTATGTGGTCCTAAGGCAGCTGCCTCTGTTCACCCAGCAGAAAATAGGTGACTTTAAACCTTCTAGAGCCTCACTGGCAGTTCGTATTATCCGGGGTAATGATGTTGTGCTCTGAGCATCCACGTTGGGAATGGAGTTTAGCGCATTATGTATGCACTCATTAGCATTATCAGGGGCGTAACTAGGAAGATATCAGTTTTAGGCACAGCTTACGGTTTTAATGAACGATTACCGCAAACTGACTAAAACATCAGGCGAACCAAACGAGCAGGTTCTAACAAGCATTATCTGGAATAATAATAACGCAGTGAAACAAATGGTAACTATTTCAAACACTGATGAGCATGAACCGATAAAGTACACGTACAATAAACCACAAAACAATAAACCCGGAACTCTCAGAAATACATGAACGTTTTAAAGGGAAGAAGAACAAGGAGAGCTAAATCAATTATGAAATTGATTGAAACAGTCAGGAACAGTTACACCAGAGAAAAGCAGATGAAAGGTACATGATACGATCTGGACATTGAAACTAAAACATCAATGACAACAAGTAGTTGATATTATGTCCAATGCTGTGACGGTATTCAACTCTGTTACCACCAGTAGCGTGCTTGCCTGTATTCTGCACTATCCTGGTGATATATGTCTTGATAAAAAACTTCAGGTATTCAATCAATTTCTCAGTGTTATATGCAGAAGATCAACATAACAACAGTGAACGTTGTGTCTGACACTGTGTATGTGGTAATGTCTGTACAGCTAAACAGGTTCACGGGAAGCCTGCAATTCCGAGAATCGCCGTATTGTTAACGTATGTTTGTAGTCACATCTATAAATACCCCTTCCTCTGTTTAGTTATTTATTCTGTACGATCAAATGCTATATATAAAAGCATTATTACTGAAAGTATTGGAGATATACATGGTTGACGAATAATAACAACACGGCCATACATTCAAGGATAAATCAATATTACAGGGTTTTGTATTAACATCTCATTTAGGTACGACACACATGACGTCATATTCATATTTAATACACTACATTATTAGCAGACCGTTGTCTGTCGGCCTATTGAGATATTATAGAACTCTGTGACGCTCAGAAGGTAGCCATTTTGATTAGTGACCAAGACCTGTAAAATCATTTTAACTGTTCGCACTCTTCGAATATTAACATCTTTAATGTGCTGCTTGTAGCCAAGAGACAGAAATAAAATGTAGCATCACGAATATTAACATCTTAAATGTCCTGCTTGTAGCCAAGAGACAGAAATAAAATGTAGCATCACGAATATTAACATCTTAAATGTGCTGCCCGTTGCCAAGAGACAGAAATAAAATGTAGCATCACGAATATTAACATCTTAAATGTGCTGCCCGTTGCCAAGAGACAGAAATAAAATGTAGCATCACGAATATTAACATCTTAAATGTGCTGCCCGTTGCCAAGAGACAGAAATAAAATGTAGCATCACGAATATTAACATCTTAAATGTGCTGCCCGGTGCCAAGAGACAGAAATAAAATGTAGCATCACGAATATTAACATCTTAAATGTGCTCCCTGTAGCCAAGAGACAGAAATAAAATGTAGCATCACGAATATTAACATCTTAAATGTGCTCCCTGTAGCCAAGAGACAGAAATAAAATGTAGCATCACGAATATTAACATCTTAAATGTGCTGCCCGTTGCCAAGAGACAGAAATAAAATGTAGCATCACGAATATTAACATCTTTAATGTGCTGCCTGTAGCCAAGAGACAGAAATAAAATGTAGCATCACGAATATTAACATCTTAAATGTGCTGCTTGTAGCCAAGAGACAGAAATAAAATGTAGCATCACGAATATTAACATCTTAAATGTGCTGCCCGTTGCCAAGAGACAGAAATAAAATGTAGCATCACGAATATTAACATCTTAAATGTGCTGCCCGTAGCCAAGTAGAGACAGAAATAAAATGTAGCATCACGAATATTAACATCTTAAATGTGCTGCCCGTAGCCAAGAGACAGAAATAAAATGTAGCATCACGAATATTAACATCTTAAATGTGCTGCCCGTTGCCAAGAGACAGAAATAAAATGTAGCATCACGAATATTAACATCTTAAATGTGCTGCCCGTTGCCAAGAGACAGAAATAAAATGTAGCATCACGAATATTAACATCTTAAATGTGCTGCCCGTAGCCAAGAGACAGAAATAAAATGTAGCATCACGAATATTAACATCTTAAATGTGCTGCTTGTAGCCAAAGAGACAGAAATAAAATGTAGCATCACGAATATTAACATCTTAAATGTGCTGCCCGTTGCCAAAGAGACAGAAATAAAATGTAGCATCACGAATATTAACATCTTTAATGTGCTGCCCGTTGCCAAAGAGACAGAAATAAAATGTAGCATCACGAATATTAACATCTTAAATGTGCTGCCCGTAGCCAAGAGACAGAAATAAAATGTAGCATCACGAATATTAACATCTTAAATGTGCTGCCCGTTGCCAAGAGACAGAAATAAAATGTAGCATCACGAATATTAACATCTTTAATGTGCTGCCCGTTGCCAAGAGACAGAAATAAAATGTAGCATCACGAATATTAACATCTTAAATGTGCTGCCCGTAGCCAAGAGACAGAAATAAAATGTAAGCATCACGAATATTAACATCTTTAATGTGCTGCTTGTAGCCAAGAGACAGAAATAAAATGTAGCATCACGAATATTAACAAATGTGCTGAATCTTGTAGCCAAGAGAGACAGAGAATTAAAATGTGGCATCTTAAATGTGCTGCCTGTAGCCAAGAGACAGAAATAAAATGTAGCATCACGAATATTAACATCTTAAATGTGCTGCCTGCTGCCAAGAGACAGAAATAAAATGTAGCATCACGAATATTAACATCTTAAATGTGCTGCCCGTAGCCAAGAGACAGAAATAAAATGTAGCATCACGAATATTAACATCTTAAATGTGCTGCCCGTAGCCAAGAGACAGAAATAAAATGTAGCATCACGAATATTAACATCTTAAATGTGCTGCCTGTAGCCAAGAGACAGAAATAAAATGTAGCATCACGAATATTAACATCTTAAATGTGCTGCTGCCTGTAGCCATTAGTGCTGACAGAAATAAAATGTAGCATCACGAATAGATAACATCTTAAATGTGCTAACATCTTAAGTAATTGCCAATCACGAGACAGAAATAAAATGTAGCATCACGAATATTAACATCTTAAATGTGTGCTGCCCGTAGCCAAGAGACAGAAATAAAATGTAGCATCACGAATATTAACATCTTAAATGTGCTGCCCGTTGCCAAGAGACAGAAATAAAATGTAGCATCACGAATATTAACATCTTAAATGTGCTGCCCGTAGCCAAGAGACAGAAATAAAATGTAGCATCACGAATATTAACATCTTAAATGTGCTGCCTGTAGCCAAGAGACAGAAATAAAATGTAGCATCACGAATATTAACATCTTAAATGTGCTGCCTGTAGCCAAGAGACAGAAATAAAATGTAGCATCACGAATATTAACATCTTAAATGTGCTGCCCGTTGCCAAGAGACAGAAATAAAATGTAGCATCACGAATATTAACATCTTAAATGTGCTGCCTGTAGCCAAGAGACAGAAATAAAATGTAGCATCACGAATATTAACATCTTAAATGTGCTGCCCGTTGCCAAGAGACAGAAATAAAATGTAGCATCACGAATATTAACATCTTAAATGTGCTGCCTGTAGCCAAGAGACAGAAATAAAATGTAGCATCACGAATATTAACATCTTTAATGTGCTGCCTGTAGCCAA